CCCCAAAACCCCAAAACCCCAAAACCCCTTTATAATGATTTTGAGTTGAAAAAGCTTTAATTATTAGTTTTTGTCTAGAGATACATTTCCGAATACTAAAAAGAACAAAATGTAAAAAATTAAATGAGTATATCCAACCGGGTAACAAAGATAAACATCACATTTTAGCAGAAGTTTAATTGTCACCATAAACCTCGACTTTATTTAGTTGGTTTGCAGCAAAGATTTGTTCAGCTTCTTTTTGTTCTATTCCGCAACGTCTGATGTATACCATTTTGAGACTCAAACTTAAATCTGAAGAACTTGCGAAGCCTTGAACCAAATTCTTGAATTCACCAAGGCCATCTACCCAATTGCTGAGTTTTGGATGACCTGATCCCCAGAAATCTAGACTACCAATCTGACAATCCTTGAGTGCCTTTGAGAAATCAGGAACTTTAGGAATAGAAAACTTGCAATAATTCAAATGTATTTTCTCTACATGTCTGAAAGATGCCATCAATCTTTTTAATTGACGATAATTAAATCAGAACTCAATGAAAGATACAGCTTTGATTACTTTAGAACTATTTCTGATCACTGAAATAAAAGAATTGGAACTCTTCAGCTTCGCTAGATTTGATGATCTTAAAACCACATTATTGGCTTTATTTGGCAATGAGAAATTTATGAAGCTCAAGAAATGCTTATCTCTGCAGCTGAAGTTACTTAAAGAAATATAATCTATATCAAAGAACTTTAACTTATTTAGTTTTTTGACAAAATTTACACTAGTAAGGTATTGAAACACTAATACGTAGTCATCATCAGGGTGTGTTCTAGTTCCTGAGATTAATGGTTTAGCCCATATTTCCTGTGAGTGAATATTATAGTGTATACTGGCACATCTTTCAAAATCTTGTTCCTTGCTCTCTAATAGGAGAGACTTCTCTAGACTACTTCATTAGAGATGGGAGGAAAATTTATGGGAACTTCAGAATTTATCAGATTTAAGTTTTATTTGATATAATAGATTCTATTTGTACTGAAAATAGTAAACTTGACTTCTTAGTTCGAGATTTCGAACAAATTGTTGAAGTAAGTATCTAATAATATTGAGAGGATAGAGCTACCGAATCAATGCTAAATTAAAGATAAATAAATTTTTTTGAATTTTGTAAATATTTTGGATGAGGAGGAAACATGTTTTAGAAAGAATGAAACTAGTTCTCAAAATTTATGAAAGCAAAATAGGGACATTTGTATACAATGTAGGATCAAAAAGTTAAGGTAAAAGGATTGGCTATCATTTTTGAAATAAGGTTTGAATTATGATGAAATATTTTAAATTGTAAATTATGTTATGCTCTAAATATCTTAGAATATTAATTTTTGGTAAATCTTGAATCCCAAGTTTACTCAGGGCTCAAAAAGCTGCGAATTACTTTACAATCTTTGTATTTTTATTTTCAAATCCCTTTCTTATAATTATCATTTATTATTATAAAATTCAATTTACTTCAAAAAACTAGGGGTTTTGGGGTTTTGGGGTTTTGGGGTTTTGGGG